ATTTTACAAAAATACCATTTTTTAAAAATTATTTATTCATTATATCATTTATGTTTGGGTTAACAATGTTGTATTAGGGTTTAGTTTTGGAGGTTTAAGAGGTTTTAGGGGTCAAAAGATATTTTAGGATTTAAAATTTTAAGATTCAGTCTTTAAAAAATTATAATTAGTGGCATTTTTGTAAATGGACACCAAATGTCCCTAAATTTAAACTAACACTGTAAAGTTAAATTATAAGAAATCCAGCTAGATTTGCAATTTAAGTATTTTGGGTGCGAAATCTGTGAACCTACAGGGAATGGCATGGTACCAAACTATCTTGGGCGCGGGAATATTCGATCACTATTTTGTTAGGTTTTAATTGATTTATAATTTAACTGAAGATTTAATAATTTATACATTATCGGTATTATATATAGTTACTCAATATTAAAAATTTAATGCATTGTTAAAAAAAAAAATAAACTTGGTGGTGGGTCGAACTCTGAACACAATTAACTTAGTGGATATCCTGATTATGAACACAATTAAATTATTTATGTGAATATTCGAGCTGAACAATAATTTCAAACTATTTTATGTGAATAATCTTAAAATATGTCAATTTTTCATGTTATTAAAATATTGGTTTGCTATACATGATGAAACAATTATATACTGATATCATGACACATGTCGCTGATACAAAAAACATAACGAAGCATCTTAAATAATTTTTTTTTATTAATTTATTATAGAATAATTTGATCTTATTGAAGACAAAGAAAACAAAAACAAAAGAAGAAATATGATACTTTTTCGAAGTTCTAATTAAGAATTTTTTTTAAATATTAGTGAAGTGATATTGTCAAAACAAAACACTATACATTAGAATGTAGTTTTACATATTTTTCAATTAACTTGATGTTAATTTTTTACTTCGAAATTAATATTACATCACACTTTTATAACAAAGAGTCAATACAACAATCCTAATAGCTAGTGGAAACAAATGTCAAAATTAAGAAAATATAAAGTTCTAAATGAAAAAATTAGCACGTATTAGGTTCTCAGAATTTGACATTATGGAAACCTTACAATATTATATAAGATTTCTCTAATAAAAAACTACATCATTGGTAGTGAACCTTAATTCTAACTAAAAAACAATAAAGTGATCGAAATCTAAAATGTAATATAGTTTTTGGTTTTGTCGAAATATGGAAGAAACATGGAATCACCTATTCGAAGAATATAGAACTGTGGCGGGGGACGATATCTAAGCTCGTATGTTCAGATTACACTGAAGTTTGGGATCAAATTGTGGCTCTTCTAACGTCCTCTCGACACAAGCATGATCTCTTTTTACTACGGTATGCTTTGCAAGCAAACATATACAATCATGTGGCGTGAACGAAACCAGAGGAGACACGGGGAATTGCGCAGCCACTATTGTCTCTCATCAAGATCATTGACAAGATTATCAAGAACCGAATCAACTCAATCAGCAACCCTGGAAACTATAAATACAAGGAGGTCATGGAGCGCTGGCTCATGATCCGATAGTAATATCCATCTCAAACTGATTTTTTAAATTATTTTTGATTTCCTTTAAAACAAAGACATATTTATTGTACAAAAGCATTTAACTGGATAAAATTTTAAATTCATTCAAAACAAAAGTAATATAGTTATTTTTTTTTGTTGAATTGAATGTTAAATTATATTCAACCAAAGACCTGTTTCAAAAAAAATGTTTCATAAGTAAACTTTTGAACGTGAAATTAATCTATATAATTTGTTTGAGTGCTAAGCCAAAACACTACACTCTCTTCAAATCGCTTATCCCCTCGGGATCGAACTGTATTCAACCGATTCGTCACTG